GACGTTCACTTTTAGCAATGTACCGTATCTACAACTGCGTCTCTAGAAAGATCTTGCTCCCACCAATTTCGGTAACGACTTCGAAAACCGTCTTGGCGAATTGAGTCATTGTCCAAATCTGCCACACGACACGCCTTCTAGAGGCTAACATTTTCTTTTCCAAAAAACCTGAATATACCTCTTCGCTTGTCAAATTCCTCACATGAAGAGGTGCTGGATTTTTTTCTGTCAACATGAAGCTAGTTTCTAATTGCTGTGTTAGGGTAAAATCAATCTGGATAACGCCATCTTCCTACTTCATCCACAGCGCCTACGTGGGAGGACTCTGGGTTGCAGCTCTGTACGCGACCCATGACATGCTCAAACATGCAGGTGATAAGTCCTTTCTTGGAGCGGTCGGGCACTGGTCCGAGGTCAACGACAACCTGTCCGGACTGCTAAAGCGCGCCAAGTCCGCCTACCACGACCAACTATGGGGAGGTGCGTCAGACTTCCCTCCCTCTTTAGATCATCGTATTACATCCTTCCGTTGGTTAAAATATAAGCAAATATGTTGATAGATTGTGATAGGCTCACTTTTTGCAAGTTTAGGCTATGAACTCACTTTAAGTTGCACTAAAGGTGAGAAGCTAATCACATCTTTTGTCACGGGAGTTAGCTACTTCACATAACACTTCAATAAAGGCTATTTCCGAACGCACAAGACGAGGAAATTTCACGTCTGGTTACTTGCCCAAATAACAAATGACGTAATGGGTAGCTTATGCTAAGCAGCGGCATCATCGATCAGTAATGTAAATTTGCCCACCAATTTGATGAATAAGTGCTGTCGAGATCAATTACGACAAAGGCGTCAGAAGAGACCACCGCCTTTCATCCTATCTTGTAGTTTAATGGGATTTTATGGGCTAATTTACCTGCAGGGGAATTCTACCGCTACGATATTACCACTCCATCAAACGCACGAAACAACTCTGTGATGGCCGACCAGCTGAGCGGCTATTGGTTCCTCCGAACAGGCGGTGCCCCCATTGATGCGGTGAGTTTCTTTCCCTCTTTCCTTGAACCCATCTTAACTACTCTACCTTAACTGTTTATCATTTACATCACACTGCTGCTCACAATTGTAATTGTTGGTCTTGTACTGCGTTTTTTCCGGGATGCGAAGAATGTGTATCAGCTGCACACAAGTCTCGAGTTATCTGAACGATATAGTTACCGAATTTCCCCATATTCATTCATCGCATAATATAAAGCACCCATTTTTGCAAATTGGTCAGTCACAAATCGAACTGTGATAAGAGGGCAGAAAACACCCGATTCAAACGAGATTCATGTCGTTTTTCAGTCCCACTTGAAATAGTTGATAAACCTAGCTGGAACAAAGGTCCAGTAAGAACGGTTCAAATTTCGAGTTAATCCCTATCACTTCTTACGCTACTAAACGTTATTGAGTAAACTATCTTGTCTGAATATAGATTTTGCCAGTAGACGCCGTTATGGGAACGCTAAAAACGATTGTACGGTTGAACTGGCTCAGCGTCCGGAACGGCAAGCTTGGCGCAATTAATAGTGTCTTCTCCAGCGCCAAAAAGGACAACACTAATATGCAGGCCGAAGAATTTTGGGTCGCTGTTAATTATGGCCTTGCGGCCCTTCTTATTCTTCACGTGAGTTGATATAAAATAACTCAAGAACAAGGGACGGCAAATGTTATTTCGCCGGAGAACTCAAACGCTAATACTTCCAGTCAGCGATGCTAAGTACTGGAAATTTAAACCAGCGGTCAACTCCCGTATTTCTTATAGGGCAAGTCATCAGAAGGCTTCGGGCTAGCAGGCGCCTGTTTCGAACATGTCTACAACCAATTGGGTCTGCACTTCCAGACGCCAGAGGCTTTCACAAAGGAAGCCACCCACCGCTCTTTGGGGTACATGCGACCCCTTGCAATCTGGAGTATTCAGCGTGCCATCGAGATGACACATCTGGCCCAATAGAACCACCCACCGACTCTGCCGTGTATACCCCGCATGCCTCTAGTTGTCATCTCTAGAGATTCATCGAAATGTATTTGTCTTTCAGCCATGCCTTCATAATCTCTCATGTTTCTCCGCAAGTCAATAACTTAATTACGGCCTTGGAGTCGTCAAACTAAAATTCGAATTTGGTTACCTCACCCTGGATTTCATTTGACATCCATCTTATTTGCCAACTGGAAAATGACGAGTGTTGAAAATGCTTGATTTCTTAAAGAGCGAGCATAAAAATTGTGAGCGGTACTCTGGGGAAGAGCTATTGGTTTGAAGTGTTGACATTTCAAGCCCTCCCTTGGACTCCGCGATTCAACTTTGCCAATCGCAATCGCCAAAATTGAGCCTGATCGCGATCCATTTTTCTCGACAAAATGTCTCTAAAAATCCAAGAAGTCATAATTCTGCTTATGTGGTGAAGTTATAAGGGTAGTCTGACTAGTAGGGTGATTGCGCCGAATAGGTGATCATGGGGAATCACGTTAATGGTAATGCACTGAATTTACAAGATGAAGTCACTTCTGCGATGCCAGTTCAACGGTACCTACAATGGTTCAAGTAAACTCACCGCAGACATGAGAAAACCAGCGTTGCCTTCTCAAATTCTTTCGCCATGATTACGCCCTTTTTGATTACCTAAGAGGAATCGTTACAGATGATTTTGATAGCAAGATCCTGATCAATGTACGACTGCTGACGTCATGGCAGCATCGACTGGTAAAGATAATCGCAAATTCGACTCTAGGACTGAGTCAGTAATATGCGCCGAGGGAGAGTTTACCTCATCTGGGATCTGTGCCAAACGGGCGACATTGAAACCGTAGCTTTTAGGACAAACTGAGGAAACGAGTTTATACAGGAAAGTGATCTTCTCCGTGCCACTGCCCACTTCCTCCTCCTCCTCTGTTGGTTGTTCTTCTGACTCGCCATTGCCAACCATACATGCCTGCAAAGTGATACTACATCTTATCTCGGTGAGTTAGAATTCCTTGAGTGAAAAACAAGTTGAGGAGACGTGTGCAGCACTAAGCAGCATTTTCAATTTGAACGCAGTTACTAGAACCTAGGTCTTGGAAATGGAAACCTGACAACGAAGACGCGACTAACCATGTGTCCAACATCGAGAGCTTTGAGGGAGGCATCAGCCCGAGACTTCTGTAATACCTCAACAAGACCGTGATAGTGGGTGGAGAATAGACTTAGCGGACCAGAAGGGCGAGATGTGGTAAGGTAACGGAGAACAGCGGAGGCCAGAGCGGAACCATCTCGGGTTGAGGTACCGCGACCCAACTCATCCATCAGTACAAGACTATTTGCCGTTGCGTGATTGAGGATCACAGCCGTCTCGGCCAGCTCCATGAAGAATGTACTTTGGCCCGATAGCAACCGATCCGACGCGCCGATTCGTGTGAACACTCTGTCAACTGGTGTCAGGCGGCAACTGGTGGCCGGTATCTGACACCCCTGCAGAACAAATTCTTGCTCAGTATGGTATTTCCTTAGAGGGATGTTATTTCGAACAAAATTTTACCAGATGGGCGAGGATGACCAAAAGTGCGGTTTGACGCATGAGAGTAGATTTACCACCCATATTAGGCCCAGTAATGAGAAGTGTAGTGACACCGTCCTTGAAGTTCACGGAGGTGGCTCTCTTCTGGCCCGGGATGAGACCCAACTGCACATCATTGGGGGTGATTTCACCACCAGAAAAGCTTTTCACCAGGCATGGATGGTAACCACTCACAATCTCTAGGAATGGCTGCGATAGAAGAAAAGGGAGAGAAGGCACTCGACAATAGTGCGATGCGTCTAGGGTTGGACAAAGGCAATAAACACACACAATAACCCACCTTAGTTCCAGGATCGAGAGGGTAAAACTCTGGACGACAGGTGATTGCAGCAGCGGAGACGCTGTAGTTGGCGAGAGAGATGAGACAGTCTAGTTCTGCAATGCACCTGATGGCCGCCTGCCATTTAGAGTAGCTTACGGCGAAAGAGAGACATCACGGTAAACACACAGCATAAATGCTGAAAATCAAGCAACCATAGGGTGGTTGGTCCAATTCCCACAAACCACTTAGGGTTTTCATCATCTGGGATGCTTCAATTCAACCACAACGAGGTAAGGCATTACTGCGTACTAGTTGGAGGGCAGCGTTGGCAGCGCCTATCCTTGCTAGAGCTTCTACTAAAGTAAGGCGGTCTAGAGGCTGCTGGTCGAGGTGGTCGTTGGAACAAGTGCAATGCCTCAACAAATTTATACCTTTGCCAAGGCCATAAGGTTTTAACGTCTGTAGAATACTGTCAAGTTTAGCAGTGAAAGAAGTCCTAATTTGAAAATGAAATTCGACTGTTAAAGGCATTGGTCTGAGCACATTTGAAAAACGAGTGCCAAGTTTGCCATTAAATTGTCTGAAATTGTATCACACTCATAACAATCTACAATTCCGTGCGCGTTCGGAATTCCATCAGTATAGACCTAACTACAAATTTCATTCAGCGCCTTAAAACAGCTGATTAATTTAGGGAGTTGTTCGTGATGTATAGTTCTAGTCTGCGCAAAATTACCCCTGGGAAGACAGCCCATGCTGAATGCTAAATTGAGACGACACAAAACAGAGCACCGATGCAACAGAGCTGATATTGGTACCTAGAGCTAAAGGAGGCGAAAAGACGACGCATGATACCCTGCATGCTTTCCTGCTTAGCGTCCTCGGCGATGACGAGACGTGCGAAGAGCTCCATGATGGCAGGTGGACGAAAGCGACGAAAGCCTTTTCGTTGGCCTGTTGCCTCCCAGGCATGCGGTACCCGATCCATAAACGTCTCTGGCACCTCCACCTGAAAACGGTTCTTCCCTGTCCCCGTGTAGGTCAGCTACCGCACACACGCAAAGAATAATTTATCTTAGGCACAACAGCCTCACTGTTCTTACAAAAAAAATATTTTAGTGAATCTATCCATGGCGAACATACAGCTATGCTCAAACCGAATCGTCAAGACGAAAAGGAATCATCTAAATGTTGCAAGGAAACAGCAGGATTGGCCCCAAAACGCCATATTTTTGTGTTCCACCTCCGATATCACAATCCAATAAGCTTTTTCCCCACCTCCATTAACTATTGATAGCACACATTTCGGTTCACTTTCAGTCGAAATATCAGTAATAACTAGAGCTGCTGAGTAATAATATTGTGCTACACTAGTGTTTCATTACATGAAGAAAACCATTTCTTACCTGACAGCCAATAAGATCACTTTGCTCAGCTAAAAACTCATTCATAGCCATTTCTGCTCTCTAAAATACATGAGATAATAAAGATTATCAACACTTGGAAAAACAAGAACTATCAATACAAAGCAAAACCGATAACAGTCCCATCTTTATTAAGCAAACATCTTTTGAAACGGTTGCATAGGCAATTCCAACATACTGTGTTAACTCACCTCAAGGCCTTCGCAAGCTTTGTCGAATTGAGGATCAAATCCCGGCTCCACAGTAATGCAGCCATCGCGTTTGGCCTTTTCATGATCAAATGCTTTCTAGACAGGTGAAAACTGAAGCTAGCATCATTGTTGATATACGCTATACAGAGGGAACCGTGGATAAAGATTGCAAAATTCTGACTCCATTATTATAGGCGAATTGAACACGTACAGATAGGGCGGCCCACCCCCTCGCTCTTACCATACCAATATCGATTAAGCTGCAAGACGAAGGGCATGCGTCCCTCTTTAAGGGAACTACAATGTCATACGAAGCTAATGCATTCTTAATCAACAAAATCTGTCCACACTCAATGCATCAGCTCAATTGTGCGTCTCCTTATAGATCTTAATCACACGTTCGATAATGCAAGCAAATTTTGAACCTTGCATAAGAATCGCTTTGGGAACTCAGGTAAATCCCTCTCCTTGAGTGAGTTTTACAAACGCACCCAATAAGAGTTCGAAATATTGGTCCGACTAAATATTAGTCTTGATGGAAATAACACGCACTGAAATCCGTGCAACCAACTGAGTAAAAAGTGATTAACGAGGATTGAACCGCAAGCATCGCAATGTGGCAAAAAATAATAATAATAGTCTGGTTCAGATTGAGGGCAAACAAAGGTGTACATAATGTGGCCAAGTGAGTTAAAACAAAAAGGCTTAAACGGTAATCAACAATGATGAAATCTCTGTATACTTACGTCAAATAGAGAAAGCTCTTCACTATAATTTGGAAAAGCCCCACCCTCCTCATGCAGGGAGGTGAGGGAACACAAGAGCTCGGATCTACATAAGAGTGCAGGACGAAGAAGTTTTAAGTGAAAACTATACATTCACCGAAAAATACCTCATACTAACAATTAATGCCAACAGGACGTACTTGACGCTGAATCTTGAGAAGGCCTTAACGATGATGATGGCGGACTTGAACCCACATAGGGCGAGGAGGAAATCCATAATTTTCCTCTTTGAGTAGATAGTCTCATCAACCACAATGGCTCGAGATTCCGGATGACCAGCTTTAGTGGCGTTCCATCCCATTATATGTATTCTTTTAGAAATTAGCGTGTTTCGTAAGTGATTCTGTACTCAGCCTTAATCAAATTGCTTGACTGATAACGAATTCAAAGTGCGAGCACTTTGTATGTGCAAATAGCAAAAGTAATGCACGACCATTAGAGAAAAGATATGGCTGGCAAGCTAAAAGCACTTACTTTGTGAGGAGCCGCTCAATGTCAGGTAAACGTCGAAGGGCATCACGAACACTCTGCAGCTCGGATGACAAGTTCATTAATTCCTGGATGGCGTCTTGGCGTCTGATTATCACTGTAGGATGACAAGGTGGGCTGACCACCCACGTTCTTAACAGGCGTCGACCTATAATGCGTGGAGAATGTTGGTTCCGGATTAACTTGAGTGCTTTCTGCCGGTGGTAAACCTATAGCTTGACCTACATAAGGCATCAGTTCAAACCAAGTAGTCACCATAGTTACCGCTGGTTATTCAGCTTAAACATGAAATTAGCAATACTATACGCACAAAATTGGACTCACCGAACGATGTGCAGCATGAGTCTAGCCTTTCGAGAAGGGTACCCTCAAGCGTTCCGTTGAAGTTGCTGACTACGATTTCGAGATTCCTCATAGTTACACTATCAAGAACCTACAATATGCATAAGAGCCGAAGTCACTTGTTACGGATCTATCGCCTACTCCCTAAGTAATCATGGAATGCCCAGTGGTTTCGCTCATTTTTTTGCTAATTGCTTCTCACTAAATTAGACCTTAAGTCAGTCCAACTTTATCGTGGTAAAGCAAAGACCGCGATTATTTAGAAATACAAGTTACATCTTCGCTTTGAGTTTAACAGGCTTATATCTTTTTGCTCACTGTAACACCCTCTGTCAGATGGGTAGTAGAAACTGCAAGCACAGGTATTTGATCTCATGCCTTCGTAACCAAAAGATATACTGGTGGGTCTGCAGAGAAAAACCGGGGAAAAGGTAGTGCTATCAAGTCATTTTAGGATAAGCAAGTGAGTCCACTTGGTGCGCCTGAGAGCCAGTTCACTCGACTGCCTAACCTCTATCCATTCTTATCATATCTATGAACTGCACCAGAATCCTCATGTCTCTCAACAAAACCGCATAAAATCGAATGGAGTACTATCCGCCTGCTAAGTGGAAATTTATGCTTTGTTACCTCAAGTACATCAATAAAATGAATGGATAAAGGGAGTCTTACCATATTGACCTGTTGCTCGTAGAAGGGCTGGCCAAGAGTGAGTACCGAAGAGGCGTCAACGGGCCGGTACTCGTGAATGAGGCCAAGAGAGAGGATCTCCGTGTCAGTGAGGCAGTAGCGCAAGTAAAATATCACTGCACCTAGGCATCGAACTGCCAACTCGTACTCTGGCAAGACATTCCTCCTCAGCGTGTCAGCTAAGAAAAAGTTTAGCGTTCGATTACTTGAAACTACTCATGAGAAACAGACTTCGTCATGCAAGCACTGCAGGCAATAGTGCGAAATCACTTCATACGTTCTGATAATATTCTGCTTAAGCAAAGCGCAATTGCGTTGCATTTTACTGACCTAAATTAGAATGAAAAACAGTGGTCATCTACGTATTTCATGTAAAAAAGGGGGGAGCAGGAAAGTAAACTCGAAAAATTTGATCAGAATACTGCGAATGGAATAATGGAATGAATGAAGTGGATGGTAGCGCAAACATTACCGGGATCAAGCATGCGGAGAAGGTCGGCAGGCCAGCAATCGACTTTGGAGAGATGTGAGGGAGAAGGAGTACCTGTGAACGACGTGCGCTGACTCGAAACAAGGCTGAAGTACTCAGCTGACTCCAATGTACAGATGGTATCATGGGCAGATAGGAACTGCTTTCCTCCCACCAGCCCTTCGAATGGCACACTGGGCAAACGCGCCTTCAGCATCCTCTTCAACTTGTTGCTCATATTGCCGCGTTCGAAGAGGACCTACCCACCACCAAAAGGATGGCCAAATACCAGTACCGGTGTGAGTGAACAATGTGAATTCCTTGACAGCATTCAGATACAGCGGGTGCAATTTCGAGAGTGTAGTGAAGACCGACGTCTACATCTTGTGACGGTTTGAATTGTTCAAAACAATCGTAGCGACACTCAAAAACTAGTATTCTTCCAAATACGAAAAGGGCAACCGTTACGCATTTTAATATAGGGTATGAGTAGAAGGTACCTTAGATTTTAAAAGGCAGTGCTCATTTAGATTACGAAAAGCGGTATGAGGAGTATCACTAATCAGTAACATTACCTGGGACGGGGGAAAATGAGCGATTAGTGTGCAGACTCGAGAGTAGTGGATGTCATCCGAGAATTGGCCTATCTATAAATACAAAAAAATATTTAATTCACGTAGAACCGATTAAATTATAACTTATCAGTTGAATAACATTGAATAAGAGTGGATAATACTGCTAACATCAAATAAGTCCGAGCGAGCATGAACCCTAATTTGCTGATATCAGTCGTTTGACGCTGACGAGTCACTCCCGTGTACCATAAATCCATTTGAACGCCTGCTTCAGTAAACTATACA